GGGTTTTGTTTAGCTTCTATATTTGTTACAATGTTTCAAACTGCCAGCTCAGAAGCCGGCAGCGGCAGGCGGGGAACGTTGGAGTCCTCCGTCACTGAAGCAAGCAAGCATCCTGTTCGCTTCAAGCTGCCTGGCTGCCGGCCGCCATCTTGGCTGGCAGTTAATTTGCATATCGCCCTGATTAGCCAATGGGAAGGGTAGCGGAGTGACACCAATTTGCATGTTTCTCTTTTATTAGTGTAGATGTTATATAGCTGTTATAAGGTGATTATGTCAATAATAATAAAGGTGCTTTAAAAATGTTAAATTTTTAATTGAATGTTAAGTGTTTTTATTTGCTTTTCCTGATTTTAGTTCTACTCCTTTCAATAAAGAAGAGTTGTCTGCCATTTTAAAATTTGGTGCTGAGGAACTTTTTAAGGAACCTGAAGGAGAAGAACAAGAGCCCCAGGTAAAAAAAAAAAAAAACCTTCAGAATGTGTCATCTATTTAAACTATATTTAACTATTTAACTATGAAGTACATTTACTTTAAAATATGTTAAAGTATGTTTAAAGATTTTTTTCTAATTATAGGAAATGGATATTGATGAAATCTTGAAGAGGGCTGAAACTCATGAAAATGAACCAGGCCCTTTAACTGTAGGAGATGAATTGCTTTCCCAGTTCAAGGTACATTTTCTTTATAGTTATATAAATTGGGAGAAACAGACTTTATTTCATAATATTTTTTGTTTTAAAATTTGCCAAGGTGCATAAAATTATATTTTCCTTATTTTGACAAACCAGTATCAAACTAATTTGAAAGGGAGCAAATCATTTATGAACAGTTAAATTTAGTAGAGTGGGGAGGGATATTATTTCCTTAAATAAGCACCTAGAACAGTGCCCAGCCAATAGCATGTACTCAAATATTTTGGTAAAAGAATGACTGTGATCCCTTTCTTACATTTCCATGACTGAGCAGTTTTAGACATCAGGTTAATTTAAGCATTACCACAACTGAGAAACTTCAAATCAGTCAAAGTAAGCTGTAAGCTCCTATTAATACTTATAAATACTCTTGGTTTGATGAGGGCTAAATGGCTGCCAGGAGTCCTAAAGGAATGTAAGTCAACCGATCTCATCCTATATAATAAAAGCCTAATATGCTAAGTGTCCGGTCCTCCGGTCTGCCATTCAACCAATCAAAACATAATATGCTAATGATATGCTAAGGCTGCTTAACTGCTTGCTGTGACGTGTTCTGACTACCAGGGGGCACAGTTGACCAATCGCTATGACATGCATTCACCACCAGGGGGCAGATAGTTGACCAGTCGCTATGACATGCACTGACCACCAGGGGGCAGACACTCCAATCAGTAAGTTAGCTTGCTGCTGGGGTCCGGCTGATCAGGACTGAGCGAGACGGGCCAGACACGCCCTGGAGCTCTCCCTTTGACCCTCTCTGGCTGGCCAACCTCCCACATACCTCCCTGGCCCTGATCGTTCACTGGTGGGGTCCCTTGGCCTGGCCTGCGCCCTCTTGCAATCTGGGACCCCTCGGGGCATGTCGGAGAGCCAGTTTCAGCCCGATCCCGCAGGCCAGGCTGAGGGACCCCACTGGTGCACAAATTCATGCACTGGGCCTCTAGTAGTGTAATAAGTAAGTTGTACAACAATTATCTACACTAATAAAAGAGAAACATGGTAATTAGCGTACGACCGCTACCCTTCCCATTGGCTAATCAGCATATCCTTATGCAAATTAACTGTCAGCCAAGATGGCG